TGACACACGCTTAATTATAGGTACAACAGTTTCTCAGCAAGTGGGAATCAATTTTGCATTACAGGGTCGTAACAGATTCTGAAAGGACAACCACGTCAGGGATTCCGTACAACGCTCCATCGGCCCTCTTCAAGAAGGCGTTCCGTAGAACGTCCACAGGGACCAACTACCCTTGCGATTTAAAGGAATGACTCTGCAAATGGTCCGTGCGAGCCAATTTTAAGAAGTTATTGTACTCTAGGGCGCACTCACGGCCTCTGTCAATTCGGTAGGTTTGAATGAGGACACCGAGTAGCTGCCTGCAATTGAGAGGAAACAAATATAGTTCAGTCAGTCCGACTTCGTAAGGCAGACAACCAAGATTGTTCAAGACCTTCGTAGACCTCGCCTGCACTCGTTCCAGCTGCAGATAGTCATTCTTAAATTACGGACGCAGGGCCTGGACGGCATACTCCAAGTGGGACGAATTGAATGCTCCATATACTTCCCCGAACAGTTACTCATCTCTGTAAAATAACCTCTCTTAGAGGTAATTACATCTGTGTCAAGCGTTAACTGCCTTTAGACACAGTGAAAATGGTTGAAGAGAAAAGGTTTTAAAACATCCAGGACCTTCTGTGCAGTTTTGGGGGCATATTTAGAGGTTCAATTGCGAAAAGTAGAATTTAAAGCTATTTTTACCAGTTTAAAATTTAAAATCTACTTAGAAGTCATTAATTTTGCCGTTTTGTTACAAAAAAGATTTTGAACTGTAATATTTCATAAAATTTTGTTTGAATGAATGGATTCCTAGCCACTTGGCGAATTTTATGAGCAGGCGTGTCGGTCTCCTGTGGTAAAGAAACGTAAAAAAAAGTTCAAAATCCCATAAAACCCAAAAATATAATGGCGTCAACCAGTGCTCAGACACAGAATATCCCGCAGACGTCTCTCTACGTCGGTGATTTGCATCCCGAAGTTTCTGAGTCGCTCCTATATGCTACTTTCTCGACTGCGGGACATGTGCTGACCGCCCGTGTTTGCCGAGATGTGGCAATGCGCACCTCTCTGGGATATGGATACGTTAATTTTGAAAACCCAAAAGACGGTTTGTTAATTTTCTTGCTAACTTCACTTTTCCAGCCGAGAGGGCGCTGGAAAACCTGAACTACGAACCCCTTTTTGGCCGTCAGATCCGTATTATGTGGTGTCAGCGTGACCCGTCACTCAGAAAGTCCGGCCGTGGCAACATTTTTATAAAGAACTTGGACAAGAGCATTAACCAGAAGGATCTTTATGACACCTTCTGCAACTTCGGCAAAATCCTATCCTGCAAGGTAACTGAATTATTCGTGTTTGCATTATCTAGATTGCGATGGATGAGAATGGAATCTCAAAGGGTTACGGCTTCATTCATTATCAAAACGAGGAATGCGCCGACGCCGCTATTAAGGCAGTCAATGGAAAGATGATCAATGACAGAATCGTCTACATTGGGCCTTTCATTCCACGCAGCGAAAGAAAGTCCGCTGGTGGGAAAGCCAAGTTCACAAATTGCTACGTCAAGAATTTCGGTGACGAACTGGACGAAGAAGGTCTCAAGAAACTTTTTGGGGAGTATGGAGAGATAAAGAGTGCCTGCATAATGCGTGATAGTGACGGGAAATCCAAGGGGTTCGGCTTCGTCTGCTTTTCAGAGCCTGAGAGTGCGGAGTCCGCAGTAGAGAAACTTCATGGAAAGGACATAAATGGCCATTCCCTCTATGTTAGTCGGGCCCAGCGGAAATCAGAGCGCCAAGAAGTCCTTCGACAGCACTTCGAGAAGCAGCGCGCTGAGCGTCTGTCTAAGTATGCTTCTGGCGTCAACCTATATGTCAAGAATCTGGATGACAGCATTGACGATGAACGTTTGCGCGAGGCCTTCAGTCCGTTTGGAAAGATTACCAGCGCCAAGGTTATGACAGACCAAGCCGGACATTCCAAGGGGTTCGGATTTGTATGCTTCAACACTCCTGAAGAGGCCAAGGAAGCAGTGAACATGAACGGCAACCTCCTAGGTTCAAAGCCCTTGTATGTTGCTTTGGCCCAACGCAGAGAGGATCGGCGTATGAAGCTTCTCGCGGAACACCAACAGAGACTTCAGTACCACGCAAACGTTGGTAATATGTCGGCAGCTCATTCAATCACAAACTTCTTTGGTCAACCGACCTTCCCGCCCGCACAACGATTCTTCTCTACCGGACCTCCGCTTGCATCCCAGCCAAGGTGGAACCGCGCCGGCTTTACAGGTCCTCAGGTTCCTTTGGGACACCCAGCCATGAACGCCACGGCACTCCGACCCCCACTGCCTGCCCAATATGTTGCGAATTCCGGCGCCATGGCCATGTCTCAAACACAGATGGCGCAAGCCAGCATGGTAGCTCCGCAGTACCGAAATCAGGCTGCCGCTGCTGCCCGCGCGCTAGTCTCTGGCACGGTTCCTTCCGGCATGAATGCGGCATCAATGGGAAATCCGGCCAATCTCATTGCCCCAGGAGCTGGTGGTCCGCATCAACATTTCAACGGCCAGCGTGTCAACCTGGCTCCGCAGATGGTTCAGGGAACTAACCAAGCTGTACCGCGC